TGCATGCGACTTATCAAAAGAACAAGGGAAAAAGTGTGCAATAAAGTATTATGGTTCATTTAAATTTTTTAATGCGATTTATTGCGCTTATAATGAGTACAAAAATTGTTGAATGGAAAAGTCGTGAAAAATATATAAATGAAGAAAAAAAAAATAGAGAATTAAAATTATTTTTTTTTGAATTGGCCTATTTTTGTTCAATTGGCATTTTTAAATTCGATTCGAAAAAACTGAATATCAAAATAGAATTTTTAGATGAAAAAAAAACAGGGGCTGAACGTTTGCGGGAGATGATTGGAATCAGCATAACTTCCACCATTGGGACATCACCATCGATTTTCGGGGAACTCATCACTTCAATGTATGCTTCAACTTCGCCAATAAGACGTTCACGGGGAAGGTTTGGGAACAACATCACTTCTTCAATTCTTCAGCATTGTTGACCGGACCATTTGCAGTTTCGATAACTGCGTTGGCTTCGTCGATTGGTGGAGCAACACCCTGAATGTTCTTTGGTTCATTGTTCGCTTCGGCATTCAAAACATGGCTGATCAAGCGATTTGCTTGTTCCAGACCAGCAATGATATCTGGAATAAATCAGGTACATACAATTGATATAATTTCTTAATTGAATTGAATTCATTTGAATTTCTGATTTCAACTTACGCGAATGAAGAGACAACAGAGTGTTTGCGGATGCGCATTGCTGTTTATCCAAATTTCCTAGGGTTGTGGCTGCGCCCGTCCATCTTATTGAACAAAAAAAAATTGATATACTCTAGGTTTACTATTTACTGGATTGTGTTTAGTTCTAGTTCAAAAAAATGTGATTCTACTCTCGTGTGTATTATAACGTCCAAATGCATATTATATGTACGTCAAAAAAATTCGTCAGGAGCGAACGTACACACAATGGATCTTAATTGTGTTTGGATTTTTAATTTTGGATTGTTTTTGTGTTAAATTTTGTTTGGAGTTTTGCGAGAATGCTACACACGTGCAAACCACCATCACAATTCAAAGTGATTGGGATAAGAAAAAAAACAAGTACCTCTCAAAGATCACAGCTCGAGAGCGTTTGTTAAGTTAACTTAAAAAGTTGGCGTTTTCAAACAGCATTTATATCTTCATTATTGTCATCGTTTTTTTTTCGTTTGTTTGCATCGTAAGATTATAACATTGTATTCTAATTTGATTTTAATCAAATCATGTGGCATTTTGAAATTATCATTTGTGTCGCATTCCATTCTCTTTTTTTTGCTGTGATTGGCTTGGATGGAAATTATATATAAATTGCTATGCGGAAACTTCGAAGGAATGAGTCGAAAAAACAACTAATGAGTTCAGGTGGTCAAGAGTTAATCATAGATCTTCGATTTTTCTAACGGTGAGATCCAAAGGTGGTCTACGTCTGGTAGTCTCTTTGATTCCACTTTTGTCTATCAGTGAGTTAATTAATAAGACACATCAAAGAAGAGAAATCAAAATAAATCCATCCAAAAACGGCCATCTCTTCCCGAGTATACTCGTATACGAGGGTTTGTAAAAATAAACCGCCCGAAGGAATTTCGTTCTTTTTATCTAGTGGCGGACAGCCTGGCAAGACAAGCCGCTAACACCATTGCACATCCGAAATTCATGCTACCACTGAATACATCCGAATGCAGGAAGTCAAATGACTCTTGGCAAGAGGAAACAATTCAACGAAGATGGCAAGCAACAAACACTTGTAGGCAAACCAAACTATTTTGTCCGCGCCCACAAGTCGAAATATCAAAATACCTGCTCACGCTACCCAAAGCGACATTAAAGAAAGCAATAGGTATTCTGACTGGTCACTGCCGCCTTAACTATCACAATCACAGGCGACGTCTGAGAGATGACCCGGACTGTGACTTATGCGGCAGAGCACCAGAAACGGCAGCTCACATCATATGCGAATGTGAACGCCTATCCCGATTTAGAATTGAAATATTCAACAATCACACATTTCAACAATGCGAAATAAATAAAATCTTCTTGCAAAAGATTCTCGAATTTTACAACAAAGCAAGTACAGCGATCCCTCGCTTAGCTCATGCTTTCTAAACTCTCTCATCAACAGCCAAAAGAAACTTCCACTGTCCCCTGGACAGCGTGACAATCGGGCCGTTCGCAAAACACCAATAGGCGTACGCGACGAATCATTCCGATTCCCCAAATCTATCCAAAATCCAAATCTAGTGAAAATGAACTTATTCCATTTGGTTCGATAGAATAATCATCAAATTAAATTCTATGTTTTCAAGTTGTATGGATGCAACAGACCGAACATGCAATAAATAATTTAATGAACTGTTTTCACTGCCCATTTTCTCTGCTTCATTCTGTCGGATCGGCAAATGTGCGCAACGCAATTTCACGGATATCCATTCGATCATCATAATCATCGTATAGTGAGCGAATAAATTTGCATGAAACAATCGTCTCTCTGTCTATCTGACCCGAATAACGATAACAACAAAATGTCTTTAGTTCAGCCTTGCATCGTTTCACATTCATTTCAGGGAGAAGAAATAAAATGAACTCTGAACCACTCACTTATACTTGCTTTTTTGTATTGTGTACGAACCAACAAAATGCAAATAATGAGCTCAACGATTTATGCGGAATGAAGACAGCAAATTGAACCGCTTCTAATAACTCCCGATCGATATTTATTATAGAAAAGGTTTCTTATGCATTTATTTTGCAAAGTTTTAATTTTTCTAATGTTGTCATTACTTGTACCACTCCAGATAGTTAAAAGGTATATAATGTGTGAGTGAAAGAAAGAGAAGTACAGTAATTTCTTAACACGGTCATTGCACATGTATGCGATTCTTCTGAATACACCAATATAGGGTTTGACTCTTTTTACAACATGATCAACATGCGAGTTCCAAGTCAGATTTGCATCAATAAACCGCCCAAGATATTTCATTTCATTTACTTCTTCGACTTTTGAGTTGTTCAAGTAAATATCCCCCAAGTTATTTTCTAATGATCTCATTGAATTGAAAAATAAAAGTTTGGTTTTTCCACCATAAGCATAAGGAAATTGTTCTTAAACCACTCACTTATTTTTTCAAGATCATCATTAATTTGGATTAATAGTGTGTTCCCAACGTTTTTCTTTTTTTTTTGTTAAGACAAGGAAATTTTTACATTTAAATAGAATAAAAAAAGAAGAAACAAGCCTTCAAAGAGTACACCCAAGATGCGTTTTCTTCTTTCGATTGATATGTTTCCCCTTTCAAGTGTTCCATGTCTATACATCATACTCTCTTCTTCATTCACCGTAACATACAAGCAAAAAAACCTTATCCAAAAAATAGAAGCAAATAGTTTAACATATTCACGTTTCTCGTTGATATTTTTAAGCAGAATAAATAGAAAGCATAATCCACACTCAAAACCAGCATAAGAATTACAAATCTGAAGAATTATGTCTAGGAAACTTCGTATTATTAGTTTAAATTTAAAAGAAAAAAACAACTTATGTTCTGTATATTTATTTCACCTATTCCCTTCATTTCGCATCATTTAACACCTACTTTTTCTTTTGTAAAATTAAAAAAAAGAAACACACACAAATCTTAAGGAAATTACATATTTGATTTAGAACTTATTCGATTTACTTATCTTGTATAAAAACAAATTTATTGACAATGATTTTTTTCTAAATTTTATGCCAAAAAATGAATAAAAAGAAAACGAATTCAGTTCATTCGCAACTGAATTTCCCAAACGGAAAAATTACTACGAAGGAGGAAAATAGATTTTACATCATTTTGGCGTCTCCACTCTCTCCGTCTATTTTTGCATTGAGACTTGAAGTCTCAAATGCAAATCTATATGGTGGAAATGGAGACGTCAAACTGATGTTTCAAATGTACGGGAGACTATCGTCGTCCTTTACACCATTTTTTCGTCATCATTCATGAGACACAAACAAATATCTACGTAGATTTTATGTGTTTGCAAACTCAAGAAT